GTATACCGAATACCCAAGGCAATCTTTGATTCCGGCTTCGGGGATTGATTCTATCAACATCTATTATCGTAGACCAATTACCGTTTAAGTTCGTGGCGACCGACTCGGATTGTTGCTTCTATAACCGTCAATTCCGATCTCAAATCCCTCTTAGCGAAGCTATCTCGCCAAGTGTGTTCCCAGGAAGTCGAATTGCTTTCTATAAGCCAAATCTTCCTCCTACACGTTTAATCGCAACAACCTCTTGACCAAAGTCAATCTTTGATTTTGAAAACTGTTTTGATTTTGAAAAAGAATAAGCACAGAGATAGAGAGAGATTTCCGAAGATATTAGGGACCTGTTTCAATTTTCCCGTTAGAATTGAGTCATCGCGACATCTCTCGGCTTATGAAAAGTTTAGCTAAGCATGACAAAAGTCATACTTAGCATATTAAAAACAAGTTTGAAAATAAAGAAAAATAAAAGAACTTGAAAAGGAAAAAGAGAAAACTTTAATAAAACTAGAGAGAAAAGAAGAATGTAATTTGAGTGATGAGTTTAGGCTTACCCCAAGTGGGTATTTATAGCCTCTCAAAGCCTAAAGGATAAGCAAAGAAAATAATTAAATAATACAAAAGATAATTGTTTTTAAATTTAAATTCAAACTTAAACTAGTCTCCTAATGCAACTCTACTCGTCAATCTTCCAGAAGGCGTGTGGATGAAGTCTTCTAGAAACCGCCGCTGACTGGACCTTCTAGAAACTGCCACGTCAGACCGCGTCGTGCCCATATCTCCAGCCGTGACCAAATAATAATAAAAATGCAGAATTCGCCCGTTTTATCACTAATTCTGAAAAGTAAGGACATGTACGAAAATAGGCATAACACAACCAAATCAGCAACAATAACTCCACAAAATCGAAGAAATAACGAACAAATATTAACGATTCTGAACACTCATCAAATTCCCCCTCACTTATCTCATGCTTGTCCTCAAGTATGATTAACCAAAACAGTCAAACACTTCATTAAACGTTCTTTGTCAAGTTTCATATTCAAGGAAGCAAGGTATAGACCACAATAACTATTCAAGTCAAGAAATCAATCAATTGAACATCACCAATTGGAACAAGTCAAGTGCAATTGTAATATACATTCATTCATTAATCTAAATGCTCATAACTCAACACCTTACCGGGATTCACTCAAATCACTATATGTGTTTGGGGTAAAGAAACGCTCAATGTCAGAATTTACACGGTATTACCATAAGCCTGCAAGTAAATCAAATCTTCACTACTAATAAGAACAAAATGCATAAATCAAAGGGTCTTTTATTTGTTGTAACGGGGCTTAGGTAAAGGTGGAGAAAAGACTAAAAATATGGCTAAAAATTCAGGGCAAGGAACTAAGAAATAATAATCTCAACTCCATCAAAACATTAAGCACAACAAGATAAAAAGACGACATATCAAACAACAAATTTCTTGTCGAAATGCATTTTTTTCTTTTTCACACTTTTGTTGTTTTGTTTTCCATTTTTTTCTTTCATGTCTTTTTTTTCTCTCTTTTTCTTTCGAACAGCTTTTTCTTTTCTTTTTTCTTTTTTCTTTTTTTGAACTGCTGTTTTTTTTCCTTCTTTCTTTCATTCAACATTTTTTTCGATGGAGAGTACAACGGTAAAATTATTCATTTGCCCTGAAAAAGGTAGAAAAGAGGGATAAAATAAAAAGGCTCGGGTTTATGAATATGGTGAAAATAAAGAAACGGGAATAAGCTCAAAAGTGGTTAACTAAGGGGAAAATGTATGGGTATGCAATTTAGTGGGGAAACGGAATGGTTAATCCTAAGGTGCCCAAATCATCTTTAAGCATCATGTTCATGTGTAATCTCGACAGTATTTAACATGCAGGTTCTAGAATACCAATGTCAAATTCGATACACTCAATCCAACAAAATGAGGGCGAAAATGATATGCTCGTAAAGGCTCAAATCTCACCAAATTATTTCATGCATTGAGCTAATCACATTTCAACCAATAAAATCATGGAATATCACAAAAACACCAACTTATCACAATTCATGCTATTCACTATCAAGAACATCCTAACCTAAACAGTTATGTGTTCCCAAACAAGCATATCATTCCAAAAAATATTCAACAAGACAAAAAAATTCAATGAAATTTCCGACAAATCCAATCAACACATACTAGCATCGAAACATAAAGATAAGCAAGGTGAAATTCAATCCTACACTCTACTCCCCCTCACTTAAAGCGTTTTGCCTCAAAACGAAAAAAATTAAAGTGCGAGAGAATGAACAAAGTACTCCACGAATTTAATGTCGACCACGGCCACATCCTCGGCCGCGATGAGAGGCGCTAGGACGTAGGTAGGAGAGGATCTCTGTTATGTTCGTCTCGATGGAGTGGAGGCGGTCGTGGACTTCATCCATTTGGGTTTTGCTAACGTGCGCCACCCTCCTCCAAGGGCTTTGCTAACATGCGCCGTTTAATGAAACGGTACGCACAGGCTGGGGGGGTTTTCTGCTTTGTGCGACTGTTCACTGCTCTGTGGGTTCCGAAATTGGCATAGTTCAAATGAAATTTCCGCAATTCTTCGTCGTTTAAGTTTGAAAAAAATATTTGGTTCCTGCAAAATAAAAATATAAATTAAATTAAACATGTTTAATTTTGTCGTTTAATGAAATTGGCATATTTCAAATGAAATTAGCATAGTTCAAATGAAATTGGCATAGAAATATTTGACGCCAATTTGACAACTGTCGTTTCGATGTCAAAATAATTTCCTTCTTCTCGGATAATAAATAAAGGAAAATTCGTAGCGTAGAGAAGTATGGTCGAATCCACAGGGACTTGGAAAATTCTTAATTTATGTTTGATTGGTCTATGTCAGGCGTTAAAGATAGTAAAATGGGGGGTTTTGGTAGAATGAGATTTAAGTAGTAATAAAAACGATTAAGTAAATAAAAGCAATTAAAGTAAAAAAATAAGAAAATAAAGATTGTGAATAAATACGGTAAAAATAGCCTCAAGCCTTGCTTTGACTCAATTTCCTTTAGATCATCGAATAAGATTTTCTCTTCGGGATTCACGTCGGTTACTTTGTCTACGAGGGCTATCCCCGTGACTCTATCTTGTATACCGAATACCCAAGGCAATCTTTGATTCCGGCTTCGGGGATTGATTCTATCAACATCTACTGTCGTAGACCAATTATCGTTTAAGTTCGTGGCGACCGACTCGGATTGTTGCTTCTATAACCGTCAATTCCAATCTCAAATCCCTCTTGGCGAAGATATCTCGCCAAGTGTGTTCCCAGTAAGTCGAATTATTTTCTATAAGCCGAATCTTCCTCCTACACGTTTAATCGCAACAACCTCTTGACCAAAGTCAATCTTTGATTTTGAAAACTGTTTTGATTTTGAAAAAGAATAAGCACAGAGATTGAGAGAGATTTCCGAAGATATTAGGGATCTGTTTCAATTCTCCCGTTGGAATTGAGTCATCGCGACAGCTCTCGGCTTATGAAAAGTTTAGCTAAGCATGACAAAAGTCATGCTTAGCATATTAAAAACAAGTTTGAAAATAAAGAAAAACAAAAGAACTTGAAAAGGAAAAAGAAAAAACTTTAATAAAACTAGAGAGAAAAGAAGAATGCAATTTGAGTGATGAGTTTAGATTTATCCCAAGTGGGTATTTATAGCCTCTCAAAGCTTAAAAGATAAGCAAAGAAAATAATTAAATAATACAAAAGATAATTATTTTTAAATTTAAATTCAAACTTAAACTAGTCTCCTAATGCAACTCTACTCGTCAATCTTCCAGAAGGCGTGTGGATGAAGTCTTCTAGAAACCGCCGCTGATTGGACCTTATAGAAACTGCCACGTCAGACCGCGTCGTGCCCATGTCTCCAGCCGTGACCAAATAATAATAAAAATGCAAAATTCGCCCGTTTTATCACTAATTTTGAAAAGTAAAGACATGCACGAAAATAGACATAACACAACCAAATCAACAGAAATAACTCTACAAAATCGAAGAAATAACGAACAAAGATTAACGATTCTGAACACTCATCAAGCTTCTGAGATTTGCATCTGATCATGCGGTTCAAAGGGAAGGGGACTGTGGAATTTTGAGCCAAGAAAGGCCTTTGAAGCTGAATGTTACCACAGTGGAGGGTGGGAATGTGTAGGGCATTAGAAGTGGTAAAAAGGAGAAAATATAGAAACTTGAGTCTGTTGAATGTTTGCAGGATCTTTTCCATTGTTCCTTTGACTCTTTCAGATGATATGAATGAAATTGCAGGGATGGTGACTTTGATGGTAAGGGGGAGATAATAAGGTTAAGAAAAAAACAGAGAATCTTTCATCTGCTATTTTTATTTTCCTATTTTTGTTTTTCAATGCATCTTTTTGCGGTGGAATAGTGCTTTTCTTCTTTAAATATCCTCTTGCAGCTTACCACTTCACAGATACTCCATTGCTCTTGGTTTCTCACTTTCTTCATGTATATCTGTAGACCATCAAGTTCACGCTTTTAGTAGCAAGTAACCATTGATTTACATGTAGAGAGTTAAAGAGTATGTTGATGAAATTTGTTGGGTCTTTTGTGGAATGATTTTGGCATACAGGATTATTAAATGGGACCATCTTGATTAAGCCTAATTAACCTATTACAAGCTCATTGATTAATGTGAAATAATAAAGTCAAAAAAGTAGTTTATCATCTTCTAGGGTTTTCTGTCATATATATTAAAATAGACCCACTTATATTAATATAAAAATTAAATGAGTTCTACAAACATTTAATAAGTGTTTTTACTATTGACATTTTAATAATTTAATTATAGAGAAACTAAAATCACCGAAGTAAACGACTTAAACAGGCTAAAATCACCAGTTAAACTCATAATTTTTGGTTCTTGGAATAAGCTTAAAATTTGAAAGGATAATGGTTCCACTGAATGAATGCATTCATCAATACCGTATCTTTCCAACAGTAAATGTTACAAACTCGGATGTTTCAGTTGTGCGAAACTTTGGGACTTCCGAAGGCTTGACATTCGTTTTCGATGCCCACGACCCTTTATATGTTGTTCCCACTCGTGTGCTCCTCTTAGTATCCTATCTCCGCAGGCCTGTAAAATTCATGTGCTCGAATATTAAAAAACCGGAGCCTTCATCTTAACATCCAAAAGAGACCAACACAAAAAGGAAAACGAGAATATATGGACCGACTCCATTTCAGTAGTAGCTGACCTTGCAAACGTATTGAGTCCACAAGTCCCTTTGGACTATATCCGTTACAGTTTTATTTCCCTCGTCCGACGCTTGTCCTCTACTATAATCTTCACTGAGGAAAGATCTGATAATTTCCACGGCAAGTCCGACCACTTGTCCTGCCCAACACTCGTCTGATTTCTCTGGAATATAGAAACCATTAATTACAATAATCATGCGTCACCCAGGAAAAAAGAAGATAAAATTTTCCATGGAAATACAAATATAAGTGATGGAATCGGCTGCAAGAGCATACTTGATATAGATTCTGTTGCATCAACATAAATAATATTCCATCCAAACAATGTCTGAAGTTGATTGACCCTCCTTTTCTGCAAAACAACATTTTACATGTTAATAACTTCCAAACATTTATATATAGCTACCAAACTGCTACTCTGCTTCCATGTTAGTCGATTTAGAGTATGAATTCATCTGAGTTCCAGAAGCAACTGATTCCTTTTTCGGAAATTGGTCAAAATTACAGCTTAGTGGAACCATTCATCTTCAACAAACTCAGAGTTATCATTAGGTTCAGACAGTAATTCAGGGCTACCAAAATCAAGAGTAATGTGACACGACAGACTTACTTGACGGCGAACAAGTCTTTGGGTGTTTACTTTTACTTTGCCAATGGCTTCTTCTAAAAGAATTTTTTGCGGGTTATCACTAGTGGAATTTAGTATACTCCTAATATTTTCTTTGAACAATTTATCATCCATCCTTGTCGACAGCTTTAGGGGGGTTCCATCAGAAGAATCACCCATGTCATCATCCATGTTGCCAGAAAAATAAGCTCGAAAAAAATTCTCGAATTCTCGAACGCCAATGGCCTGTCGCAAACCTAGAGTATAATTTGCATTTGGATTGTAAATGTCATAAACTTCATCAAGCAAACCAGCATCTACCATGCAGTCTACCCTGTGTTCCACATACTGATCCAACACAGGTAAGGAAGCATCAACACATATAAAACAGCAACTGTATCTAGAATTATCGAATCGACCCCAGTTCTGCCCTGCCACGGACAAATTTAACAAAATTCAAAAGCAAGTCGGTCAGCATAGTGCCATCTCCCTCTAAAGAAATAGTAGTTTGATCTTAAAGGTTTATGTTCAGTCTTTCTAAGTTGAAACTGCAATTTGTCTTGTAAAAGAAATGAGAAAAAGTTTATATTGGGTAGACATGATCAAGATCCATAAACATAATCAAGGACCACCAACCTCTGCAGCCTTTCCCTGAAAAAGTTTGCTTGGAAGAACACCAGAACGAGCATAAAGACTGTGGTAATGATTAATCTGCAAATTCAACCAATGTCAAGAATGTATATATGGTTATGTATATCTTAGTTAGAACTTTTGAAACCTTCTTCAGAAGAAATAACCATATTAGCTCACTCAACAAAACAACATTAAACAACTTGTGCTTTGCATAGCTAAAGTAACAGTTAAAAGCAAGCCCTAATCTGTCCTCAATTTCAAGTTTGTCTTATAAGGTTCTCGTTAGGACGACTCTCAAGCACTGGGTTGAGTATAACTAGCCGGGTTAAAAAAGTAAGAAACCAAGCTTTCAACAAGTTCTATGGCAAAATATACTATCAAATCCAAGAAGCCAAAATACAATTCATCATCAAAATGTGCTTTCCACTTAGCTCAATTGAATTTCAACCTAAAATTGACCTTAATAAGATATACAGCAATAATAAGTAGGAATAAGTAGCAAAAACATCATATGACAAAACACCATAACGTGATTAGCATATCATATACATCAACATTTGGTTCTTACTTTTCTATGATTATTTGGATGAATTCTGTTTGCCGCAACTGGATCAAGTTCTTTAAGAAGATCATAGCTATAATTGCAACTGTCTCCCAGCACGTCAAGCATATGATCTGTCTGCTCATTTCCTGTGATAAATTAAACAATGTCGGTAGTCTACTAATTTGGGATGATCCAAAGGAAGGGGATTCCTACATACCAGGATGATCGCTTGAATAGATTTCGGACATATCTTCTGCTGATTCATCAAGAAGGAATGAACTCACAAGTGCCTACAAACAAGGGTTAAAATATAAATTTGACAGCAAGTGCAGGAAACTAAAAGTTATTTTGCTCGGACTCTAAATAAGCAGGAAGAAACAACGACAAAGAAAGAAATGAAGGAAAATGGACAGGTAGACAGACGAAAGATGAATGCATCCTTGGAACAGGTATCTAATTGATTATGGCTTGACTACTGGAAAACTATGGACAAGATTCTATGACAGAAAACGTTAGTTAAAGTAACTGATTCCTAGCATACTATTAGACGAAAGGGTCAAAACTGCCTCATAAAGAAGGCTTACCATACTAGTGGTATAAACTCCAGAATTTGTAAAGATGACTAATCACATAAAGAAACAAATGCTTACCTGAATATAGTAATTGGTGCCTCCAACAATGACTGGCAATTGGTTGCGAGTTAATATATCATTAATAATCTGAAAGTACAATACCACAAATTAAATAGGCATAAACCGATCGCAAACTATGACAGAGAAAAGTATATAGCATGAATAATTGACAGACAAATAAAAACATAGTTATATGACTAGACAAACAAGTAAAGGACATGCATTTTAGAAGCAAGATGGAAACGAAACATGATATATGATTATTGAAGTCAATACTTCTAGACCTCCAGATACTCGCAATTCTAAAGCAATAAAACCGAAGCTGAACTCACAGGAATTGCAGAATCCCTGAATTTCTTAGCAGTGAATTCCATATCAGAGCTAACCGTACCCAGAAGATGATGTGGCACTCCTACAAAACATATGTAACCTAATTAAGAAAATCAACCGAGTATTTTCTTTTTCCGAAACAAAAATGGTATAAAGGCAATACCTTTTTGGTCATAGAGAGGAACTTTATTGGTGAGGACATCAAGACCTTGATAGACTTGCATGGAATCAGCGTTGATGATTTCAATAGGAAAATGGGTGGCCAAATCAATGGCTAAACGGGATTTTCCCGACCCAGTTGGACCCATTACTACTACTACCTTAGATTTAACTCCTTCCTTTAAGGGTTCTCCTCCATTTAATGGGTTTAGGGCTCTTGCAGGTGACTCATTGCTTTTCTCCATTTCTCTACCAAGTCTCTTTCTTTCTATCTCTTTGCAAATATGAAGTTGCGGAGGTTAGAAAAAGAAGGTAGCTTTCTGGTGGGCTTGATTTTGGGACATCCTCACAAAAAAGTTTTGATATTTAGGCCGCCATAACTAGGAGCCCGTCATACTTGTTTTGATAAATTTTGGGTTCTTCTATGAAAACTTTTTCTTTTCGGCTTAATTCTCCTATCATACTTTGGAATCGATGGAAAGAGTGGCTGAATAATCGTCTTTATTATTTTAGATCTTTATTATTTTTTATTAATAAAATATTTTATCTTCTAAAATTTTATAAATCTCTCTCTCTTAATTTTATAAATTTGTTCTCTAACATAAAACATATACCATCTCTAAATCATACTATAATTAATGTAGCAAAAATCTCACTTTAAAATTTTATTAGTTTCCATCGATTAACTTATATCCTATTTAGTTAAAAAAAAAACAACTTACATCTTATTTTTTTCTATTCTATCTTCCTTTTATTATTTTCTGAAAAAAGTTGGCGTGACTTAACAAGAGACTATAATGTATCAGAATAACTTAAAAATATAAAAAAATTCCAAATTTACTTTTTGAATTGAATTTCTCTATGTTTTGATCGGATTAATCTCAGGTTCAAACCGGTCTTGGACTCATACTATTATAGGTTCGAACTTGAATTGATTTTAAACGTAACTGTTTAAATCTAAAACTATTTTGTTTTTGGTGAATAAAGTGCTTAAACTAATCTAAAACAAAATTAAACGACCGTTGCCTAATTCATATACATGTAGGATCGAGATAATAGCATTTGGAAATGTCAGATATACTCGTCCCGTAAAGTCATCTTTTTAAATCATCCATACTACCGGTTAGTCTATTTGCTCCTTAAAAAAATTTAATTTTTTTAATCATTAAGATCACTCAATAAATTTGAATACTTTATGATTTTAAGGTGAACATATTATTAAAATCCATATTTTATGGACAAAATTCATATTCCTAATTCTTGATTCTATTCGTGTGTCATATTTCTTACCACAAATATAACATACTTTTAATATGAGCAAGCAAGTCGAATATGAATATATTAGGAAAAAAATTAAAATATGAATGGCTTAGCATAAAGAATAATAAAAACCAGTCATCACATTCATTCATTTCATAAATCTTCACCATGCCGCTAGGGATCTCCCACCCAACATGACTAAATTTAACAAATTAAACTAAATTTAACATTTTTCTCAAAATAATGGATGTACAGTGGCTCTCCTAAGGAATCACATACATCCGCCCCTGTCCGTAATTACAATAAACACGACGTAACTAAAATACACAAGTCATTGATGTGAGGTAATTATAAAATAATATTTGTTCTTTTAACCATTGATAATGTAAACACTCTACAAATATAATTGCTCAAACCTATAATTTCTACATAAAGTAATATTAATTTTCTTTTATCATTATGGTACTTTGATGAGTTGAATATATTTTCATAATATTTGTTTGGAATAATAGATTTTTAAAATATCGAGTAAAAACTGTGATCACAGATGCAGCATCTTCATTATCAAGTATCAACCTATACCACAAACAAACATCCAAAAAAAAAGGAAACAGATGAACATACACAACAACTATTCTACTGTTGGTGTTCTGCTAAATAAAATAGTCATCGTCTCGAAGATCCGAACATTTGATCCAAAAGGATGACCAGAGCCATGGAAAAGTCCGTCCTGATATGACCGGGCTGAACAACAAGACGGAAGACGTCGGTTCCATAGGCAACTCCTTTAACAGCTTCTTTTTTCTTTATCTCAGCCACTAATCTCCTACTGTCGTCATATACAGAACAAGATCGTTGCGAATATGACCCTTCAATCTCGTAAACCAGATTATTATTGTTGTTAACGTAGGCCAAGCAGTTTTTGTTTAGGATGTTTATCGATTTCCTCGCACAAAGTCTGGGATTCACTGAGGCTTCTCCTTCGTAAATCAACCAGCTATCTCCAAGACTCATTTTCTGACAAAACAAAAATCGAAACATCATCATCATTTGCATGAACGGAGGAAAGATTTTATGATAAAATTAGAAACGAACTTATAAAATTATAGTGAATGCAAGATTGAAAAAGGTACCTTCCGGCGGATGGTGAGGAGAGGGTTGCCGGTGGCATCCATGAGAAGGATCTCACCCTTGTGCCCGTCCATGTAATTATCTACCCTGAACATCAAATTACCTTTACTATCAAACACCGTGAAGCCATTACAGTTGAAGAGCAACGATTTTTTCCAGACGGTTAGAATCGTCTCCTCCGTCTTATCGGACTCGGGTATCGGTAACAGCTTCGGCAGCCTCTCGGAGACGCCAGACGTAAAACTAGCATTGGGGTAAACCCTTGTCATTCTCGTAGAAGTTTCCAGCCTTTTAACACTAGTTCGGAAACAAGATCGCATGACAAACCCTAAACCAACACTAAAAATTCAAACAACTCAAGGTGATCAAACGTGAGAGAAACTTTGGAGCTAGCTTGGTTTTAGTGGAAGAATTAGGCAGATAGAGAGTATTTTATAAAGGAAAAAGGAAGGAGAATAACTAAGGTACAAAAGTCTAAAACGAAGTGCGCCACTATTAAATGACGTGAAATCAGCACTTCATGGGACGAAAATACATAATTGAAAGTGATGTAAGGGGAAGGGAAACGGAAGTGGTGAACAAGATTCGAACTATCAATCGACCAACTTGAATTGGGTATTGCAAAAATTATTCTCAATTCAGTTACTTCATTCACAACAGTAGGATTTGAACTTCTAACTTTACTTAGGGAATTTAGTGTCTCATCTTACTAGACCAACTGAATAATTCTTTTAATTTATTTTATTTCATTTATAATTTTTAATATTTCATCTTTTTCAATTATTATAAGTGTTTTTGATAAATAAAGATAAGATAAAAGTTTATAAATGGATTATGGCCTAACTATCTTTCCCAGACGCTAATTAATATCAAATGCTTAGCGTCCTGTTTAAGAGTATATTTTGTAGAAATGTTTTGTCATTTGTAGTTAACCACAATTATACAGTTTATGTAGTTATTTCATTATTTTATGCTACATGTTTGGTAGTATTAAAATAAGGTTAGAATTTGTGGCTGGGAGCTGATATGCGGTGGCGGGCGATTGACGCTAATAGACAGACCAGTGCTTTTGGTTAGATATTTTTTTTCTGAGCATGCTAGCATTGACTCTGTCTTTGATTGTTCAAATAAGTTAGCACTCGGTTCTTCAAGGCATCTAGCCAAGTGTGTGCTCTTATGCTACGGTTTCTTTGTTTATGCTTCTGGCACGGTTATAAGTGCTTAAAGTGAAAACATGACGTACGTATGGATCATGTCGATTATTTCTCTTAGAATTTAAGTAATATCTTCTTTGTATCTCAATATATCATGTCTGGACGTTTTAATCTAACTTTTTTAATAAATAAATTCAATGTTTATTTCAAATCCAAATTTTAATGATATTTCTCGAAATGATTATGAACAATAAAATTCGAAAAACATCAAACTTAATTATCATTATAATTGTTCTTACAATAAAAATTTACAAAGTAAAAATAAGTTTTGTATAACATGGTCCTTAAATTTATGTGGTGGCATATATTTTGTCAAAAGATAACACATTTTCTTTTCTTCAAGAGATACTTAATATCAATATGTTTACTTCAACTTTCACTTTTGTTTTTTCAACCATAAAGACAGTAATTGAATTGTCACAATATATCATGAATGACTTAGAAATCGAATCCACAAGTCTAAGCCTAAAATTGAAACCCTTCAACCATACTCCATGTGATGTAGTCTCATACCATGAAACAAACTCAGTCTTCATAGTTAAAGTAGTAGTTAACCTCTGCTTGACGCTCCTCCATGATATAACTTTGTCAGCAAACATACACATATAACTTTATTTATATGAATCAACACAATCGATAAAGTCTAAATCGGAGTAATCCATCACCTCCAAATGCTCTGATCATTTATATGTAAGCATGTAATTTTTTCTCTTTTAAGGCATCTCAAAATTTTCTTTATATCCATTCAGTGGTCAATACATGAATTACTCAGATATCTTTCCAACATCCCAATAAAAAATGTAATGTTAGGTCTTATTGCATAGTTAAGCATACATCAAGTTTCCAACAATAAAATCATATACAATATTTTTCATTTTTCTCTCTCAATTTTGTTCTTCGGGTATTGGTTTAAATTGAGCTTATCATCTTTCACGATATGAGCAACACTAGATGAATAACATGTGATCAATTCATTTGAAATCTTTTTAAAATTTTGTTGATATACATTTCTTAAGATAAACTTAAGATATCTTGATATTTCTCACGATAAATCTTAATGTCAATGATATAAATTACATCATTTATAATTTATATTATTATTTTTCTATTTGTAATAATAAAATGTCATCTACATATAGAATAAGGAAAAATTTCATAAGAATTTAAGTAGCTTAGAGCTAATAAACTTACTTAACCCCATACCAGGTTCAATTTCTTCTTTCTATAATACCATTCTAATCAAGTAAAGCTAACATGTATTAAAATTTCGTAAATGAATCGGTGTTTGTCTATATTTAGTGTATCTGTCATAATACTCACTATTTTTATTGGTTCGCAAATGATTCATTCTTTTATGGATTTAACTCGTCTTGATTATAGTGTCATTTGCTCACTTTTGTTTTTAACGTAAATTACATGTTTGATAACTTAATTTTAATCTCTTTCTTATTTCACTCATTATAGTTTCAATTTTTTCAATTTATTCACTGTAATTTACATATTAATTTTTTTGTCACTCTGTCGTTAAATAATTAAACAACTTTATGACATGACAACTTACATCAAAATGAAATCATTTTTATTCCTGAAAAAAATAAATTTTAAACTAAAATGATGTTGTTTTGATAAAAATACGGCCATGTTTTATTACCATTAATTATTTAACGGAGTGATAAAAAATTTAATGTATAAAGTTTAGTAAGTAAATTAAAAAAATTAAAAATATAATGAGTAAAATAAGAAAAATAGTAAAGTTCAATTACCAAACGTATAGTTTACCTTTTGTTTTTTACTATTTTTCACCTCTATTTGAATGAAGGTCACCTTATAATGTTAGAAACAATAATAAGAAAGGAGTAAGTGTATGTCCGTTATTAATTTATTGTATTATGATTGACCTTATAAATGGTTATCCCTTGTTCCCATATGTAATGGAGTAAGGGAAGGTAAGATAGTAGGCTGCCCCCAATATTAGATTGAGAACAACTTTCGTAGGAGACCTCCAAATTATAAAATATCTTTCATTAGACTCGATCCCACTACGTCAATGTTAAAAACCTTATAATAATGTATAATTATTTGATTGAAGCGGGACAGCTAGTGCGAGTGTGCGTCACCCCTTTCTTTCCTTCAACCATATCATATTACAATTATGCGCTTAGATAAGGCCCCGCACTCAGACCTTGGGTTGGAAAATAATATAACCAGTCTGAATACTAAAATCATAAAAATATTCCTTAGCTTGAAATACTATTTGAACACGAATATGCGTAGAATTTTATGTTTAGAAAATAAATTTAAATTTTTTAAGAGATTTAAATTTATAAAATTTTATAAAATTAAAAAAAAATTATTAAAAAAATTATTAAAAATATTTAAAATATATGAAAATTTTAAATTTTGAAAAAGGAAGTAAATCCCACATTTCAATGCAGGAGTTTCAGTTGAACCATTTGGCATGATAAGTTGACCTAACAACACTGGAAGAGAGGTTTTACGACAATAGTTATAACCTAAAGCAACTTTTCTCATGGTATTTATTTACAATTTGTAATACTTTTTAACATTATCCGAGTTTTGGATGCGGTACATGTCATTGCCATTAGAGAGCTTATAGCTTTGTTGCCTATCCAAATTTAGGAAAGAGGGCATAGGTAGGTATCAATATGGTGTTTTATATTTGATATTTTAAAATGTATTTATTCTTATTTTTTGTGCTTTAGTGGATAATAGTTATATTAGTATGTGTTATTAGGGATGTTCAAATTAATTCGTTATTGTTAACTGTAACCATTAATCGATGTAACTGTTATATTTTATAGGTTAATTAACTGAACTGTTAAGATTTAACGGTTAATAAATTTTGATAAACGGTTAACATTAATAAATTATAATTAATTATATTTTTTTAGAAAATATAATTAAAAATAAAATCAAAATGATTCCTCCTATTTTTTAGTTATCATGTTTATCTTTCTTTTTATTAAGTGGAGATGATTACAAAGTAATATATATTTTAAATACTCTCAACCATTTGGGGATGAACGTTCAATCACTCTTGTAGTCGCTAGTACTCGGACCCATGACATTTAGGAACAACAATGATTCCTTAAACCACTGAAGTAAGTTAGTTCGTACAATTATCATGTTTATCTTATATAGGAGCACATTAAATCAAACATATACGAAAAAAAACATGATTTTAAATTATAAAATATAAATATACATGTAAGATTTTAAACTGTAAAAAAATAAATATACCTCGTAATATATATATATATATATATATATATATATATAAGATAAAATACATTTACAAATAAATAAGATTTTTACAAATATATATGTTTCTATCGTCAAAAAATTTATGAAATTTTAAAAATTTTAAGTTGTGTTATGTTTGAAAAATATTCTAATAGGTTAACCTGTAATCGAACCACTAATAACGGTTAACAGTTTTTCAATGGTTAGATTATGGTTAATAAAATTTAATAATCGGTATAGCAGTTAACCGATCGTTTAGACTTAACGGTACGGTTAATCGACTATGAACACCTATGTATGTTATATTAATATTTGATATACCGATAGCTGAGTTAAATGAAAGATTTATTAAGAAACATATATAAGGAGTAATTTCTTATGTTATGAAGGTTTAGGATAAAAGTGAATACAAAATTTTACGTTAATGATTGAATTTATAAAATATTAAGAAAAAATACATTATTGTTGTCTCACTCGCTCTTCTCGGTCTATCCCCGGCTGAGGAAGCATTTATATATATATCAAGAAAGACATGTTTGGTGAGTGGTTGATAGGCTACTATCCTATATATCAGAACACTTGCCATTGAAGAAGATAAACAATTGAAAATATCAAACAAACAGAAACTGGGTCAAATTACAGCACGCAACGCCACATCACGTTGGTTTAGTCAGAATCGAATTTAACTAAGGGTTTCAATACTTTTGCTCAGCTCCTCCAGCTTCTTCATCCTCGATCTCTCGCTTTCACTCACCAGCTAACCAGCATTCCACATGATAATATTAATATTAATAATAATAATAATAAAAAGGAGAAACACAAGCAACATGTTACTTACAAAATATTGTAAATAAACAAGGTCTAACTAAAGTAACAAAGCACAAAAGATTCACCTCCATTAATTTGCTAACTAGTTGTGTTTTCTCCTTATTCTTCTCGTTGAAGGCTTCAAGAGCTTCTTTGTATTCTCTTTCCTGTGATTTACAGCATGTTATTGAAGTTAACTGCTGAAAAGTGACTTTTTTTCACTTTGCTAAATCAATTACTTTATTAATATAGAGAGACCACTATACATAATCATTCAAAATTACGACTAATTATACCATCTATTTCCCCTTGATAATCATTTTAATGATTAGCAATGAAAATAATAGTTGCACCTTCTTCTGGCAGCTCTGTCCCAGCGGTTTCAGCTCCCGGTTGACGGTATCGATCTTCTTGCGCAGAAACCCGATTTCCTTCCTCAATGGATCTATGAGGGCATCAAGCTCCTGGAAGATTTCATCAGTTAATTGAATAGAAGCATACATAATTCTACAGATGATGTCTCATATGTCATAAAGATTCTTGTGTTTTAGTCCAGAGTTAAGATCTATAACATGATGTATAGTAAATGTCTAAACTATGATCCTACACTTGATTTTTCTTCGGGCAACTTACTTGTCGAATGTCGGCCAAGCGTCGTGTTTCTTCTTCGACGCGTCCCATGTATGTCTGAACCTTGTCCCTCACCTCCATCTTCTTCCTCTCAATCTCCTCTTCTTTGGCTCGAAACAGTGCCAATGCAGATTTGGCCATTTCCTCTTCCTTGCCATCTTTCATCGGAGTTTCATTGCTAACGATGATTCCCGAGTTCTTTACACGCTGCATCTGAGATTGCTGGTGTTCCCATATCTGCTTTGGTGTTTCCATTGATGCCATCCTCAACTTCCCCCTTCTTTTCTTCTTGCAATTCTCCTTTTTTTCTTTACAACGATGGCTCTCTTTCCCCTTCTATAGGTGGGTTATAGTGCAAGGCTGGCTTTAAAGATATGATACCAACTAGCTTACTTTAACACAAAACAAATACTAGTATTATAAAAAAAAATATGTAATCACCAAAGGCACATATAGAATGTTATTTATACGATTTTTTAGTTATTTTTATCAGACACTTACATTCGAAACTGTATAAATGATTTTCTTATTCGAAAAGTGTGAATTATTTGTAATAATGTTGTGGTTGAAGGGTCAAAAGAGTGTTGGTAAATCTTCTTTTTCCTTGAGGAAGGGTGCTTGGAGAAGAAGTATTTTCTTTATGCAGAGGTCACCTACACAAAAGATGGGGAGGAAAGACTTGAGAGACAATACAGAGTTGGAGAGAACTGTCAAAGCATCCAATGTACCTGCCTTTATTGCATAACATAGCATGACCCTTACAGCTTGGACTTGTTTTGAAATTAAAAAAACACATGAATCTTCACTCTTAATCTCCTGATTTTTCCTTTCCTATGAGAGATAAGTAGTTGAAAGGCTATTTTTCTAAATGTTAGAAAGTGCATGTGTTGTTTGAATTTTGAAGTTCGAGAATTTAGAATATTTTTTAAAGGAACCGTTAGTTTTATTAAAAAAGAATGAAATATTCATAATTATAGCGAAAGTTTATAATTATACTCTTAAGCTAGATAAATAGTAAGGGTATTTCCTATAACTATTAACATAAGAAACTGGCCACACAATCACACAAGAATCATCTAAAGAAAAGGTAAAAAAATCTAATAAAAAACTCGAACAAAAGATAAATACGAACAAATCTGATCGCATCGACATATGAACCACACAAGGAGATCAAGCTACTGAAAGATCACCAACAAACTGCAAATCATAGTCAAGTGACGTGGGAAAACTATAAACGAACGCAAATCGTGTATCCAAATCCAATCCGAGTCCAAAGCAAGATCAACATGATAACAAATAAGTGTTATCTTGATCAATCATGATGTTGTCAAATTCATCCCTTAGAAACAAGAAAAACGAAAACAACTGTTAAACAATCGAAAATGTGTCAAAAAGCTTAGAAAAAACGTGTCATAAAATTAAAGAAAAATATGTGATAAAGACAAAAATATTAAATATTAAAAATACAGAAAAATCAAAGATGTGATATAAAAAATAATATGATGTTAGTTTTGTTTTTAATTTTTTAAAGATATATTTTCGTAAAAAAGCCGGTTACACCGGTTAGAGGATGAGGATCCTTCAATTGCATGGAGGGACTGAACTATTCTTTGTATGGAAATTAGTGAAACGCTGAAACTGAAATATATATATATATACACGCGCGAGCGCGCAAGAAGCATTAAAATGTTATGAAGGATAGAAAGTAGGAATGAGTGATAGGGTTTATGTGACATATATACAAAAACTAGTTATATAAAATTTTATATAAATATAAATAACATTTATCATTTCAAGAATAATATTTGATCTAAAATAGTTATATATATTTATATATTTGAGGTGAATATAAGGGTAGAATTTGTTTAAAAACTCTAAGTATTAAAATAATCCAATAACCTTCTCTTGAGAAACGACCAACATTTAAAGAATCTGATAACTTTTACAAAAACTCTTTATTTTTAACGAACGAGACATTTTACGATGTGATAAAGAAGTGGTGAATAAACCAAACTATTTGGCAAGCTGCTTCGCTACACAATTCTAATTATATCGACAAATAATTTTTTTACTAGAGAGGGGATTTTACTATACTTGAACACTGATGAACCAATCAAAGAGCAAATGTCGTTTGTGTGTGCACCAAACGACCGCAAAAGTATGTGAAAAAACGTATTAAAAGCCAAAAGGATCGTACCACAATAATAAATAAAACTCGTGCCATAATAACAGAGAAAAACGTGTTATAAGGACAAAATCTATTTAAAATTGAATAAAATTCAAGAAAAAAAATAAAGGACATAGCATGAAAAAATAAGCAAAATAATAATTATTGACGATAAATAACTAACATAAAAATTGACATCATTATCGATTAAATAAAAATCAAAAGACAAAAAATAATACTATAAAAATATAGAGAAAAAACTTAGGGGTTATTTGTTTACTTCCGAATGATTAAGCGTTAAATGATTCAAATACTGAATGATTCAGAGACTCTGTATGAATTAACTCTGAATGTGACATGCTATTTGATAATGGCTCTGAATCATTCAGAATGTACTTTTATGCTAAATCATTCAATAATATTTTGTTAAATCAGTCAACACTGAATCATTCAGAGGTGCGAAACAAACGCGCTGAATGCTGAACGGTTCAGTATTTAACTCTGAATGATTCTATTAAAAGACAAACAAACAATCCTTAGATTTGGAAAAGGAGAAAATGTATTTCTTTTATAGTGATTATTATAATAACATAATTTGAATTTACTTAGTTTATTTATTTAAAATAGTTAAATAACCAAAAAGATAATAGTAGTAGGAGTGGTGACTTTTTTTAAAAATATTTTTAAAATAAATGAATCCCATTAGTTTTTTTCTCTAACATTTTTTTTCGTATTGCATGCCAGATAAAACGGTATCGTTCTGAGAGGGACCTGCATCTCATGCATTGTATAGTAAGATACACCTGAGAAACACGCAATTATTTCTCGTGCTCCCTTTTTCTGGCTCTGCAACTCTCCTAGGAGCTATAATAATGGCGGATTCTTCGTAGCCTACAAAGACTTCAACTTTCCCTCTTCTTCCGCGCAGCCTTTTCGTTATCTCATTACTCGCAAAAATGCGTTCAAAGGACAAAATATCCTACTTTTACGATGGTATCGTCATCTTCGCTCTTCTCTGTTTCTTTCCTCTCGTTTTTACTATTCATTTCCCTCCTCTTTTTTCTTCCCTCTCTCTTTTCTTTCACTTTCTTGATAATAAATTTTAAAATATTTTTCTTTAATTATTATCACCTTAATTTCCCTAAATCTTTCAGAACCCTAACTTTGGGTTCACCCGAAAGAAGAAATTTACTATCTTTCGGCTGTTTGGCAGGAGATGTAGGGAGCGTTTACTTTGGTCCTAATCATCCAATGAAACCGCACCGGCTTTGTATGACTCACCATTTGGTTCTTGCCTATGACCTCCATAAGAAAATGGAAATTTATGTCAGTTACTCGAATACTCGAACTTTTCTTTCTCTTCTTTACTGACGATGTTCTAATTTTTTTGGTCTGTATAACGCAGCGTCCCCACAAGGCTTACCCCGTTGAACTCGCTCAGTTCCATTCTGCTGATTATGTTGAGTTTTTAAATCGAATTACGCCAGATACGCAGCACTTGTTCTCGAAGGAATTGGCGATATGTATGTATCACATTTCTTTCTTTCGTTTCTTGTCCCGGTTAAATCTTTTAAACCAGATAAGTTAGTTTCCCCGATATTATATATGGATGAAAAGATACGTTATTTAACGAAAATAGTTTGTTAGGACATTCATTTGGACTGGGAAAAAGCTATCCGCTTCGATAATTTTGTATGAATGTTTGATATTGGCAAAGATTATGAGTTCGGTATTGCCATTAGTTGGGGAATGATTTTTGCTTATGTTGTGCTATCAAACTTTAGAATCTTGAATTAGCTTGGAAACCAATTTACTCTTGTTAACGCTCTGTAGAACTGCATGTTTCTTTCTTACTTGTATGCTGTAGTTTAATTTGGTTATATGATCTGGTTTAATGAGCATGTAAATATCATTTTGAGAGTGGACTATGTTATGTTTTCTCTAATGTATATTGGTTTTATACTTTGATGTTCATCCTTCTCTTTTCTTCCCAGACAATCTTGGAGAAGACTGCCCTGTATTTGAGAACTTGTTTGAATTTTGTCAAATTTATGCTGGTGGAACAATAGGTAAACCCTAACTTGATGGTCTGTTGTTCTTGAAATCTGTGCATTTCAGTCTAATCGATTGCCATTGTTGGCAGATGCTGCACGAAGGTTAAACAATAAACTATGTGATATTGCTATAAATTGGGCCGGTGGTTTACATCATGCCAAGAAGTGCGAGGCATCTGGCTTTTGTTACATCAATGACTTGGTGTTGGGAATCTTGGAGCTTCTTAAGTATCATACCCGTGTTTTGTATATTGACATAGATGTCCATCATGGTGATGGCGTTGAAGAAGCCTTTTATTTCACTGACAGGTAGTTTTCTCTTGTTATTGGATTATTAGCTTTGCTTATTCTATGATATCAGTAAGAGGGTTGCATGCAGCCTCTGAAATGCTATTTCAATTGTTAAATAATAACCAAGTTGATAATGCAATCTTTTAATCAAATTGTTGAAACTCTATTATGACAGGGTGATGACTGTTAGTTTTCACAAGTTTGGAGATATGTTTTTTCCTGGAACTGGTGATGTGAAGGTTATTGTCAATTCTCTGTTCCTTTCTTCTCCCCTAGTAGTAACAGTTGGTAGTTAGGTTATATGTTTTAGTGTCAGTAGTAAATTTGTTTGTTAACACATTTGTTAATGAGCATTGTCTTATAGTTTCTTCAACTAAATTCTTTAAAATGTGAGTATATCGACTTTACCAGATGTGATTCCTGTTTTATGATTTGCACTTTTTGAGTCACATGACTTTAATTGGTAAATACTTTCAATGCATTGTACTTACCCCCTTACAATGAGATATGGAACAGTATCATTATTATTCTTCACAAGCCATTTTGTTGTGATATCCTTTTTTCTGGATAGTTTTTGTTGATAAATGCTAATATTACAATGAGATTTGTATAATCAAGGATTTCATTATCTGCTTCACTTGTGGTATCCTTTCTTCTGGATAGTTTAGGTTGATAAATGCTAATATTATGCCAAGTTAATATCTGCTTGAAATACTGATACAAGTTGTATTGAAGGACATAGGAGCAAGAGAAGGGAAGCTTTATGCCATAAATGTTCCACTCAAGAATGGAATTGATGACACTAGCTTCATTAGATTGTTTAAGACAGTAAGTACCAAGTCAAAATCAATACATATAATAGAACGGTAATTGTTTTTCTTTCCCTTAACAGCCGTAGCATTTAAATCATTATGTGCAAATATCTATCTTTTGTAGATTATATCCAAGGTTGTTGAAATGTATCAACCAGGCGCAATAGTTCTTCAATGTGGGGCAGATTCTCTTGCCGGGGATCGGTTGGGCTGTTTCAATCTCTCAATTGACGGTATTTAAATTGACTTGTAAAGCAAGGACTATTCTCCTATCCCATCCATTAAATAATTGATTGAAGTTGTTGATATTATTTGCAGGACATGCTGCGTGTGTTAGAATTGTGAAGAAATTCAACCTACCTTTACTGGTATGTTGTTTGTTTGATTAGCCTTTTTAACTGCTGCAAATAAGTTACATTTTAAGAATTTTTTATCCTACAGGTTACTGGTGGCGGAGGGTATACAAAAGAAAATGTTGCACGTTGTTGGACTTTTGAAACAGGAGTTCTCTTAGATACAGAACTTCCTAATGGTATGCAAGATAATCCTGTCTTGTTTTCTTGACATGCTATGTTGACATTGGAATTTATCCCACTCAACTAGGCGTGAGAACTGGCTTTTGTAAATTAGTAACTAAATATATATGTCAACTCATTTATTGCCAATTTGGATTACCTAGGGTGTTCATCATGTGAATGATACGTTGATTACTACCCTCTAAATCCGCTCGATATTGAAATGAGCTGGTTAATATATTTTCATAGGTCTTTGGTCAGTTTTTTTGGAGACATTGTTTATGTAGGTATGTTTTTGGAAGACAGCTGCTTTAATATGTTTTACTTGTAAGATTGAGAAACTTACTCGAAAGTTTGATATCTTGTGCAGAAATCCCAGACAATGAGTACATCAAATATTTTGAACCAGAGTGCTTGTTGAGTATTCCAAATGGGCACATAGTATGTTATTGCACAATTAAAGTTCAAGGATTACATTATTCGTTTTGGTCAATTGATTGGCAGCTGTCAACTTCAACTCAGATATATTCTTTGATATATTTGGTATTCTAAAAAAACAGAACCCTTGTAACCCTTTGTGTTTCGGTTGATTATGCAGGAGAATTTAAATAGCAGATCATATCTTAGTACAATCAAGATGCAAGTGTTGGAAAATCTTCGTTCCATCCAACATGCTCCAGGTGTACAGATGCAAGAGGTGAGTAGCAGACTAGTTTCCAACTAAATCTGGATCTTGTTGAGCTAGATTACTTGTCAAGGTGGCTGGTTTCTGATTTTCCATGTGGTTAGAACCATGCCCCATCTTAAGGGGAAGATAGGTCTCTTGGGGTGTAAGCATCTTCAAAATGTTGGTGGTCTAATGGCCATTATCTGTGATGCAGGTTCCACCTGATTTCTATATTCCTGATATTGATGAAAAAGAGCAAAATCCCGATGAGCGCATGCACAGTAAGTAGAATAGTGTGTACCCTTGAGCTGCGGTGCCCTGCTGTTCCTTAACTAGCACTCATGCACACTTTCTGTCATTTGATTTCTGGTGATATATTTTTTTTTTGTTTCTGCATCCAATACATCTCTCTGCATTTCTCACAGAGCACACCAAAGACAAGCAAATTCAGCGCGATGATGAATACTATGATGGTGACAATGATAATGATTCATGACACTGACATGTGAAGGTAGAGTTGGCATATTTTTGTTAGGTAGTATTAGGTCATACTGTGTAGGATATGTTGCAATCAAAATTTAGCTAACTCCAAAATCAAAGAGAAAATTGTGGAAGGAACCGCAGTATAATTGTTCATATTTTGTTTCCAAGATGTCTTTGGCTAATTGGCTGTATGTAGTCTCTCACACCTCTGATGGATTTGATCGAGCACAGTGTTTAGCATTTTACTATACGCCATACAATTTTAAATTCTTGCCTTGTCTTCAAGGTCACCCTTCTGATGAACATATTGCCCTTTGCTCTGCTATATTAGTACATTGATATCATTTGCTGAATTTCTTCTTCAAAGCTTCTAGTGCCCTTGTTTGTTAATTTTATTTTATACCGCTGTTTGACAAAACTAGCAAATCTTTTTTTTGACATGAATATGGAAAACATAAAAATGTTGGCTTTGCCTGGTCTGGTCTGCTGCCAGTCACTGTCTCAAGCCCCACAACAGATCATGAAAGTTAATAATCGAGCTTAAATATTGCAGTGTTGTTTCCATAATGCACAGGAGCTCTGTAATGTTTGGATGAAAATATGAAGGAAAATCGAAAAGTATACAAAATGGAGGCACTATCTTTATATTGTTTGAATTAATTAAAATAAACCAAAAGGGGAGGCAGAAAAGAATCAAAGGGATGCAAAGTTTACTAATTTTTCCTTATCTTCTTATCGGACATCCAAACAAAGAGTTTGGATTTCAAAATCCTAATGATGATAGAAACATGGTTTCCATGTATCCTTGCAGAAACCATCTCATTTTGCATACAGATTATAAAATAGAATTAATGATATCATGAATGCATTTCAATATCAGTTAATTACAGTGTTTTCCATGATACGTTTTTCTCTTCAGCAAACAACATTGGCCAGTTACAATACATTCTCTCTATATGTACACAGCTTGAGATCAAAGAAACATGAAGGCTGGTTGAGTTTTTGTTTTCCTTCTCAAAAACCCATGTCCATCCCAAACTCCAAATTCCAAGACACAGAACAAGGGATCCAGATCAATGTTGATACCGTAAACACTGATCTGGGCCATCTCCGTGATTCATTTCTTCATCAGATTCAGGGGCATGAAGATGATGATGATGATGAAGAACTGGTCTGGGTTGTTTTGAGGCGAAGGTCTTTGGGTTCATCGTCAGCAGCTACATGTTCGAATGACAACGTGGTTGGGAAAACGTTTCCAACGAGAGCTGATTTAGAGGATGAGAAACAAAGATCACCATCATCAGGGATTGAGAAGGCTGTCAGGAGAGTTTTTTTAAAGACAGCTTCATCTGCTTCTGCGAACCAAGTTTATCGCAGGCTAGATCATGAGTATGATTCAGACGAAGAAAACACAAACAGAAAGGGGAACAAGATCCTTGAAGTTTGTAGGCGTTTCTTTGGTTCTTAGCAGGGATTTAAATTGTAATTGTCGTGTTACATTTATGACGATTGTAGATATAACCGATACTGTTGTAGTTACTGTCATTTAAAAAAAAATTCACACAACTTATTGTGAAACATAATAATAATAATTATAAAAACTCACTTTTAATGATTTTAGATTTTAGAATGATTTTTAACACTTATTATATTTTTGTTGGTTTTCTAAAAGGAGTTATATTTAAAAAAAGATTTTACGGTAATAGACCAATAATAGCAAATGGGGAAGGGTTTGACAATGGTAACACAAATGGGGTTGGGGGATAAGAAAGTTGAGGAAGAAGCATGGGATTAGCTGAAGGAATGTGTCGTTAATTATTATTGTGGTACTCCAATTAGAAGAATTGGTGCAATGTGATACAAGCTGCTCCAGCATTCTGAACTATGATCAAGTGTGAGTTTATACCTTGGGGGATAGTTTTTGTATTGGAGGGAGAATATGATTATCAACAGTCATTTTCGTCCGTTCTCATTTTATTATATATATATATAATTATATATATTTATTATTATTATTATTATATTATTACAAATATTTACAAATCAACCAAAGGCCCAAACCCGAAGATACACTGGAGGCCCAAACTCGAGAAAATCCAAACCCGGAGGCTCAGAAGCATATTCAACTTGAGAAGGCCAAAACCCGTTTAGGGTTTTCTGCTCAATGCTCCAGCGTCGCCAGCTTCCTTAACCGTTGGATATGGAGAGATCCAACGGCCATAGATGATCCACCAGAAACCCTAGGGTATCATTACTACCCTAGGGGTCTATTTCGGCCGCCGCCTCCAACTGCTCCAACCAGCCGATGTCACGCCTCCACCGCCTCACCAGAAGGATCCAAAAGATAAAGGAGGGATGCACACTTCATCGATCTAGGTTGAGTCACCACCGTAGGTCCAGTGACTCACCGAATTTCATCATTGCAACCGGGTACCCAGGGGCTATATAAACGCAAATCCTGCAAGCAAAGACACAGAGATATACGAAAAAACAGAGGCAAACACACACAAGTAACCAGCAGAATATTTGAAATTAGGGAAAAGAGCTGAGAAGAACACTTACCATTGTCGGAGGCCTTTGAAACGTCGTCGGAGCGTTGAATATTTCGGAGGTAAATCCTTAGATCTAGGCCAATTGAAAGGTTTTTAGGACAAAAGGAACTTGGAATCGGGTTTAGGAGATTTTGGGTTTCGTTTTGGTTTTTTTTACAATTTTCGACCATTGACCAGCAGTTGACGGTCGGTGACCGGCATCCCTACGGTGAAAAAGCTTAATGAAATCTACATGGAACATCTACCCAGATCAAATCCCTTCCTGGTATGTGGATTTTATGCCTGCCAGAAGAGGTTATTTAAAAGGTGAGATCTTGAAGATTAAAAACAGTGAAGTTATACGTTTTATTAAACGTCTTTTGAAAAGAAGATAATGATCACATGACGAGTGGTATTAGAACGATCTTGTCACGAGATTGAGTGGGAAAATGTCATATTTTGAAAAGATAAAGACATTAATTTCACATCAGAAAGGAAAAGAGATATATTAAAATTTTAAAAAGATGATGTTGTACATCCTATTAGACATATCTCTTGATAAGAGAACAATACTTTTATGAAAAGGGCTCATATCCTTAATCGAAGCGAGAACGATTATTTCCTGAACAACTTGTAACCCCCTCAGACCGATGCGGATAACCCGATCCGATCTGGAGTGTCACATTAGGGCCACCGGAGCGACCCACTGTAAAAATAGCGGAAAATTTAAAACTTTTATTAAAACATGTAACTCATAATTGCTTTATCAGCATTCATAAATAAAAACAGATTTTTCTGACTCGTATATAAAACAAGATACAATTACATGCCCCCTAATCACATGTACCATACTTTGTAAGCAACGCCAGAAGAACTCCCTTATTGATATCAATAGCTGTACTGGTACAATTCTTTTAACCTGCAATGGTGAGTAATAGAGTGAGCTTCTGAAAGCTCAGTAATACAGAACTACCTGATGATGCTAAAGGACATGCAGATAAATGGAAAGCCATAATTTCCTTATTTAATCAAACGTATACCAGTTACGGGATAATCTGGGGTTCCATTAGTAGTTCATCAAGTAGATACTATGAATCTCAGTTCATAAGAAACCTTTCATACTATCACGTTTTCATGAAGTCGAATAAGATGTCTAGTGTGTTCCAACAGTACGATAAAATCATGATAGGTACACTAAACAAATAATATCTCAGTAAAATCTCATAGTGGTTTAAAAACCCATCGTATAAAGAGTTAACCTAAGGGAACATCTTAGGGCCTGAGAGCCTACCCAAGAAAGTTTCGGGGCCACGAGGCCTACCTAAGAACACATCTTAGGGCCGTGGGGCCTACCCAAAATAATCTCAGGGCCGCAGAGCCTACCTAAGAGTCACGTTAGGTCCATAAAAATTTTCCAGCTTGACCGAAGCTATACTTTACAAATCAGTATCTCCAAGATACAATTTATATCGTGATACAAATCCATAAGCCATCACCATTAAGTCGGTGCATCCATAAAACAATAACCATAGATTTCAGTATCCCTCATGTTAAAACAATAAAACAATTTATTAAAATATAAGGAACACACTAGAGAATCCAAGTACTTTTCAAAGGCCTTATATAGTTATCAGTATGGATAACATGAACTTGTGCAATTTGATCGAATTACAGGAGCAAAACCTTATTGAAGAGAATCGATTTCTAACCGATCTAATCAAAAACCTAAGGTTGATACTTTAGAATTCCACTATGTTTTCATGTACATCAGGAAAACGTTCAGGAACCTTTATATAAAATAATTCTATATTCGGATTTACTGAGAGTGATTTCATTACCCAAACAATCAGGGGTATTCAAAAATATACTTTGAATTCATAGGATTTCAGCCCAATTGAACCAAATTAGGTATTCAAAATCTTTTCCTTATGCGATACTTGTGTTTTTAAACATGATCGAAGTGATTTTAGATGAAAATCTAGAATCGAAGATTCAAGTCATTTACAATATATGACTATCGATCGTATCATCAAACAACTCGAGTTACACAACTCCCAGACTGATGCATGTCAACAAGTCAATTCATTATCCTTCTAGGGTATTCACTCTTTAATACCATAATGCATATCCATAGATCATATTCGTAATCATCGATGAATAGATCTTCCAATGGTTTTTATTTCATTTCCACGTTTCAATGATATCAGAAAATACAGACGTACTTGATTCATGGTTCATGACCCGTAAAGACATTTCATCTTGTAAGTTCAACATTGTTTCCAGACTTATCCAATCACTTATTTAATCTTCAATCATTGATATTACTTAGTTCATTTAGCAATCAAATCTATCCCGATTACTTCAGAGTTTTCCAGAGTAATTCAGATGTTTCTGAATTTCAGATACATATTGTACTACCTTTCAGTTCAATTTAGTCAATCTAGTATTCGTGGTTGTTTTGTCTCACGAATATCCCCTTCTTAGTATCAAATGCGCTCTAGAGCTTAGCCGAGTCAATAATTTCTAAAATTATCATCGATCCACACTTGTAATTACTAACACGCATTCAAATGATATTTATGCCATTCCGGTATTGACATAGCTTTAAGGTTGATATACTCACTTAAATTGTGTTATATTACTTTTAAGGGTAATACAACACCTATGTTTATTTGAATTCCTTAATTAGCCCAAGACATTTACTTAGTCTAGGCCATAAGGGCATTTTGGTGTTCAATGTTTT